TAGGCATAATTAATCTGGGATTCACCCGCTATGTAACATGTAGCTGCTCATTCTTTTTCTACTTCCGATTTGTATTTTCTCCCAGGAATCATTCTACAGGACAGCCAGCAGATCGGTGGTTGTGTGTGGCTGCAGCAGGGAGCAGACACAGGCAGGAGGGAAAGACTGCAGAGGAAGGACATGGACCAGAGTGTAAGGTTATAGAAACGCTCTTGATTGTGCCGGAGACTTCATGGGTATACACACGTGTCAAAATGCATCAGATGATACATGGCAAATATATGCAATTAGTTGTAGGTCAATAACATCTCAATAAGGCTGTTTTGAAACCTCATCCTTCAGGACCTAAAGCAAAATACATGCTGAGGAGACCCAAGATTACAGAACATTAAGATTAACAAGTTTGTTTCTAAAACCTACTTTTTCTTCGTGAAAGAAATAGTCTTGTTCATCACAGTTAATAAGCTACACTGAGGTTCTTTCTGTACCACAGATAAAATAGGGCACGCCATTCAATTAAGCTTCATTAGCCTCTCCTCTTACTAGGGGAGGGAGCTAAGGTCAACATATGAGAAAGATTTAATGTATTAGAAGAGTATATGATTGGTTGTCAGAAATCTATGATATAAAACTAGAGAACACGTGCTAATATAAAAAATGCTTTTCTTTACACTTTCTCTTCCACACCTCTCTTTTCCCTTCCTTCCTTTTCAGTGGCTTCTTGCTACTTTCTGTCTTTTGTTTCCTCCACTTCCATCCCTGTCCCTGTTTCCCTCCTCCCCTCCCATTTACCAACAGGAGTACGCAGTGGCTCGGACCACAGCATGGACCCTGGTTCATTCCCTGCTTCCAGTCTCCCGACCACTGTTCAGGGCATGGCAGTTTGTGTCTTGTGTTCTGGTGTCCATGATACAGACAGGGGTAAAAATCAAATGCCCTCTCTTCATAGGGTTGGTGTATAATAGCTGTTCTCAACCTATGGGTCATTTGGGGGTTTATATATCAGATGTTTACATTACGATTCATAACAGTAACAACATTACAGTTCTGAAGTAGCAACAACATAATGTTATGGTTGGGGGTCACCACATCATGAGGAACTGTATTAAAGGGTCGCAGCATCAGGAAGGTTGAGAACCACTGGCGTATAAAATGGATTGATTACAGGACGAACAACTTGGGAGTAGTTATTAATCACCATGCAAGTTCCTGTTCTCAGAGGGCTCGTTCTATGCCAGACACTGGTCTCCAACCATGACGGGTAAACAGCCCTAGGCTCAAGGCGGATTTGAGAACACACGAGATTCCGAGATCTGGATCCCAGTTCTGACTTGGCCAGTACAATTCTCTGGCCCCAACTGTGTTCCTCCTACATCAGAGCATACGCTATTCATTGTTAAAATGGGGGAGTTTGGTGTAGAAGATCCCTTTCAGCTTTAACTAATGCATTTTCTAATTCGAAAGTATAAGAACATTACAAAATGAAAAGCTTTGCTATGACGTTTGGGCACAACTGGGGTGACTTCAGTTTTCCTATTACAGCGAAGGCCATTTGTCTTGCAGGAAAAAGACATAACACAGCCAAAGGAACATCATTAACATGTCAGGGGACCATTATGTTTGCTTCCTTAGCGTTTAGTGAGAAATTGTAACGTACAGTTTTGATTCGTGTTTTGGGAGATATTCAAAGTTCTGAGTTTGGACTCCCTCTTCCTCGCACTGGACGTGAAGTCTCCTGAGAGGTCAGAGGGTGTCTACCTCCTCTTTACGGGGGAGGGGTCCCGTTACCCTGGCCTCAATGATCCACCAGGAGTGACCCTCATCTCATGCATGCTGAACGTGTCCTGGCTCTGCCAAGGTCGGGCATTCTGAGTGGTGAGTGTGAAGTCACCACAGGAAATTAGCAGTCCACATAGACGAACTTGTGTGACATTCCCTGGAAGGGGATTGGAATAGTCTCTATGTAATGAATGCGGTTGGTTGTGCAAGAAAAATAGCTTTTACGAGGCAAAGAAATTTAATGCAGAGACTGGAGTTGGTCCCATCACATGGTCTTACATCACATGGTCTTACATCACATGGTCTTACATCACATGGTCTTACATCACATGGTCTTATATCACATGGTCTTACATCACATGGTTTGGTGAGGAGAGGACAGCGGTCAGACTAGATGTGAGTGCTCCGGAGTGTGTGTGTGTGTGTGTGTGTGTGTGT